CATCATTCTGAAAGCTGCTTGTACAGGTTTTAATGGTACAGGGATTTTTCTTCTGGATATTTTGTGCTTTTTGCAGTTTTTACAATTTTTTAGGTTATTTTTTCAATTTTTGATAGTTTATTTGGTTTAACTTTAAGTCATTCATTGTTGTTTCGCAAGTGGTGCGAAATTCGGCTTCGCTTCTGTGTTGATATTTTTTTTGTGTGTCTCAAGTGCTTCCAAACTTCGTCTCTGTGTGTATGACTTGCTCATAAAAGGTTGAGAATTGAAAACTATGAGTAGAAGTTGTTTGTTAATCGTGTCGGGTCAACCTGGAGCTAGCGCCATGTGGGAACGAGCATTAACTGGGGACAAGCGACTGACGAGCTTTTGAGCCACTTTTAATTGGAGTGTGTCAAGAAGTTATTCATGCGTGCAGCTCTAATTCACGCGCAATTTATCCTTAGTGCCGAATGTAAGCGTGTGCTTTTTTTTCAGTTGTTCCCATCAGTCTTTTGCTACCAGTTGTCGCTTGTTCTGAAACGTTTCGGCACAGATGCAAGCTGCTTTGAATTCAAAATTTTATTCTTGATCAAATTTAAGATTTTAATGAGGGCAAAGTGTCAAAACTATATCAACTGTGAAGCTTGCTAGTCAAATAATCTCCGGTTACGTGGCAGAAACTAGACAACCGCGTATTCATACTCATCAATATGTAGAAAAATAGTATATTAGCCAATCAGAATCGAGATCAGATTGAAAAAGTACGGAAAAACTATTTAATAATTATATATTTCGTAAGTTTGCTTTCTAATCTCGATTCTGATTGGTTCATGTAGTATTTGTATACTTACTGACGATTAAGTTTTTCTGCTTGATTGAGAAATTTGTTTGATAACGATGATCAATCAAAATTTTTCCGTGGCCCTGAAGGTCGACACTTTTATATGACGAAGGATCGAACTCCGAATGAGCATCAATTAATTGGCACTTCAGATTTTAAAATGAAACAAGACTGCTGGTATCAGGCGAAGCCCTGAATGTTCCGACTGCCTTTTAAGGTTTGTGGAGCAGTAATAACATTAAAAAATTTAATGAAATAAAATTAAAAGAAAAAAATTTTTTTTTTCTAAAATTTGAAATTTTTTTTAATGAAAATCATCCCCCCACACACCATATAAAGTACAAAGGGATAGATTTCGTTCCTTGTAACAAATGAATTATGGCAAGTAAGCTTCTTTCAACCAATTTGGAACGATTTACAAGACTGATTAAATCTCCGCTTACGCGTTAATAGCGCGAAATATATCGCGCGTTAATTGTCCCGAATTGGCCAAAATGGCAATCTTTAAACACCCGTAACTTTACGAAAAATGATCACAGGTAAAATATTTTTTCAAATTTGAGCACAAGACAACAATACTTTTCGAATGATTTAAAAAAACTCCGTCAAAAATGGCTAGTTAAAAAGTCGAAATTTGTCTGAAGAAAAAAAAACCCACCCCGAGCACAAATATTCCGTTACTTTCGTATCGAAAGTCGGAACAGTTAAATCTAGACACCAGCCCAAAGTTTATCTCATAGCCTGTTTTAAGGCCTCGCGCTACCAGGGTCGATATTTTGACCTTATATTTCCGTCGAATAGGTCGAGCCAGATATCTTAGCTTGACCAGAAATTCACTGTCGCGCAGGGTCTATAAACGAAATGAAAGTGAAAACATAAAAACGAACTGAATCAACGCATGCAGTCGAACTGGGTCGAAAGATAAAGTCGAACTATATCAAAGCCATGAATCGGTTAAATTTTTATTATAAAATCTTGGAAAAAGAAATATTCTATCAGAGTTATGGGTTTACCAACAGTCTCTCTAGGAGAGTTTTGTACAATAACGCATGAAATCCAAAGGTTACCGTAAAGTTTCTAGATCTAAAGGCTTAGGCGGCAGACAATCGTTAAACGTTTCAGCGTTTTTTACAAATGACAATTTTTTGTTTATTGTTTTCATAGTAAACTTTAAAAAAACACGTTATAAATTGCCGAACTATTAATGGGACGTATGAGTTTGGTCGATCTTTTGGGTGAATCGATCTTGGTCAAAACATTGGCCAATTCGAACTAAAGTCGAAACATCGATCAAAGTAGCGCGCTCGGAGCGAAGCACTAGCATCGTTAATCAACTACATTTTGTGCACTAAAGAATCCCTAAATAAAACATATACACAGCGCCGAACTCGTGAGGCTACTATATTGCCAAAAAATGCGTTCAGAAGAGTCAAAGACGATTATTTGTTTTAAAAAAATCCATTAGGCAGAGGCAAAGCGGAGCTTCATACAACTTGCGGTACTACACAAACAAAACATTGTAAACTAGCGGACTGCAAGTAAAAAGGAAGCTTTAACGTCGATAAAGAGTGAATTACAAAGATATTGAAAAATGCCTGACTAAAGACAAACAAAAATTTCGAGAAACACAAAAGTTAGTATTAAACCAACGTTCAGAAATATTTTGCGATAACTAAGCCGATAATACTGTGATAGACGCCAATTGAGCTGAAAACAAAATTGTTGTATGAAACACTATCGACTATGAAGATTTAAAAACCGAAGTTCATACGCCCACCAGTCTTGGAAAACGCAAAAAGATGTACAATTTTAGTTCCAACTAACGCGTTAAAAAACGATCGGATCAATATATGGGAGTCTGAAACTATTTAAGCCAAATATCCCCTATTTAAAACACTAACAAGAATGTTCGTATCAGGGCGAAGCCCTGAATGTTCCGACTGCCTTTTAAGGTTTGTGGAGCAGTAATAACATTAAAAAATTTAATGAAATAAAATTAAAAGAAAAAAAATTTTTTTTTCTAAAATTTGAAATTTTTTTAAATGAAAATCATCCCCCCACACACCATATAAAGTACAAAGGGATAGATTTCGTTCCTTGTAACAAATGAATTATGGCAAGTAAGCTTCCTTCAACCAATTTGGAACGATTTATAAGACGGATTATATCTCCGCTTACGCGTTAATAGCGCGAAATGTATCGCGCGTTAATTGTCCCAAATTGGGCAAAATGACAATCTTTAAACCCCCATAACTTTACGAAAATTGATCAGAGGTGTAATATCTTTTCAAATTTGAGCTTAGGACAACAATACCTTTCGAATGATATAGAAAAATTCCGTCAAAAATGGCTAGTTAAAAAATCGAAATATGTCTGAAGAAAAAAAACGCACCCCGAGCACAAATATTCCGTCACTTTTGTATCGAAAGTCGGAACAAAACGGTCTCTACATTTGGTAGTTGATTTGAATACAATAAGTTTGAAAACAAGTCTGTAAGAAAATCCAGTTTGACAATTTTGTGATACTTCAATATAGGCTTAGATTTTGGGCAATTTAGCTGAGTAAAATGAGCTTCAAAGGACCTCCTAATATTCGACAGAAACCGAAGCTATTTTTTCTTTAATGGAAATCAAAATTAAAAGTTATCATTTGTTGTTCGGTGAGGTGAAAATTAGGGTAATAGCTACTTGAATGGTTTTCTTCAAGTAAGCGCAGCCGCAAAACCGCTTTTTTCTAATGATGTCTTGCTGAAATTTTTTTTTCAAGTTCCAATTGATTCGTACCAATTAGTTACCATCAAGGTAACTGACATCCTCATTCATTTCTATTAATATTAGAGAAATAAGCATACCAGAAAAAAACTCTGTTTAAAAGAGAGAAAATAGATAGAAAATACAAATTTTTATTGTAGCTACTCAATATTCCATTTTTCCATTATTGAAACTTAGGTAATAATATCGGCGAACCAAATTTTTGTTTAATCCAAGTAGTTTGATAAGATTATTTTCTTAGTTTTTGGAACCCATGTCCAAACCATGCTTTCGAATCTTACTGATGGAAGAAAACTAATACTTCTTTGAAACGGTTGTTTTTTGCATCTCTGACCTCATGAAATACAATATGTGCAATTGGATCAAAATTCCTCGTTGCTTCCCTACTCTTTGAATGGGCTCAGACTTATGCCTCTAACCCCTTTTTTAAGAGTAGTTGTTTTCAATTTGAAATAATTGGTTGCAATTTAAGAGAAGTTTTTCCATTTTAAACTGCAACCAATTCAAGCATTGAAGCAAAATTGATGAAACCATTACGTTATTGATTAAATCACTTTCACTGACAAGTTTTCAAACACAATTTGTTCAATCGATAGCTAAGCAAATGGTTATTACTCAACGGACATCACTGTTAAGACCAGGATATGACGAGCGGATATTGTTGCTTTAATGGGCTAAGACCGCTGAGGATTAAGTGGGCAACAATAAATCTCTTCTTTTTCGCATCCCCGCTCCTGTTTTTGGGCTTATCTGCCCTCGCAAGGGGAATTATTTTGATTTATATGCTAATGTGCCCTAATTATCATAGTTTTTGGATGTTACGGGCAGGGGAATATCATTTAAACACCTTCCAAATTTTAGAACGCGGCACAGTTATATAGTTTTGTTGTATTCAATTTGTGCTTCAATTGCTTTCATTGGTACTATTTTATGTTCGTAGTCAATGTGGAAAAGACAGAATCCTATTTGCTGGTGAGTAAAATCTTTTTCCTGGTCATCGAAGAAAATTTTTTGTCTGAAATATGAAAAAATACTGAGTCACGCTAAACGAAGCATGAGGTAATTACCAAATCAAAGATCGGGTTCAAAGTTTACTTAAGACGTCTCAAATACCTTTCAGCTTTCAAAAGATTTTTCATTTTCGATTTCGCTGGTAATTTGGATATCAAATTAATTTTTCTTCCGATCCGGATCTGTTAAATTTGTTTGCAGAAGTGTATTTATACAAGTACCATTTGCGGCAACTTGATTTTTATAGTCTCAGTACATCCATAAACGTATATGTAAATAAATATAATGGTTGTTTACTTGTATTTTTCCACTTTGCTGATATCTGCTTATATGCAGCTCAAGTTTATTTTAAATTTAAACATTAAAGGAGCTTGACCTAGTTATATGTTCCTAGTCTATACTGCAGAATTACCCGAGGAAAATGTCAATCTCGAGGTAGATGGTTTGAATTCCCGGGAATCGGTTTCGGATGCGAACGACAAGACACAAACAGATACGTTCGGATCTCCTACAAATTTCAACAATTTGACTTCGTATTTCTACTCGGAAGAACAACGCGTTCAGTCCGACTCGAAGTTGAGAAGGCGAAAAATGAGCGGGACCGAAACATCGAGTGAATATCCGTCGGCAACTACTGAGGTTCACTCTGAGCCGAGCGGAATTGGAGCAGGATTTGACCGAGACAGCTCAAGTGCCGAGCGGGATCGAAGACGTGATCAATTTTTGCATGAATCTTGTGCGCCGCCATCAGTTGAGAAGGTAGAAGTAGCCTGTATGCTTGAATTTCGAAAAATCCCCTCGCACGGTTGATTAAATGTACATCCGCGCATTTTAATACCCGCGTTTTTAATACCCGATTTTAATACCTGCGTTTTTAATACCCGATTAATCATTATTTAGGCTTGGCGGTTTTTTTATTGAGTATTTTCAAATTTATATTTATGAACTACTTTTGACATTTAAGAATCTCCTTCAGTCTTGGGGTCGGTCAGTCAAAAATGGATGTTGTTAAATTGTATCAAAGGGGGGCGGCAGGACAGAGGAGAGGAGGCTTCCGCCCGACCATCCTCTAAATCCACACTGCTAGGAATTGCGTTGTTTTGTTATGTTCAAATTATTTGTGATTTTTTTTCCAGTTTTGACTTCCATTTAATATATGTTTCACAACTATTCTTTTTCTTGTTTAGTGTAAAATAACGAAGTGATTTTCATTTATATAAGCCTTGATGGTTTTTTCGATTGTTTTTTTTTCAGGCAAAAGTCTTGAAATACTCGAATAACTTTAAGCATTCGTGGCTGAATGGGTAGTGCGTGAGACTCAAATTTGCTAGGTCGAAGATTTTTGCTAATTCGAGTTTTTACTGAGCCTTATTTCTACTGTTTCTGATGTCATTTGATAGAGCTGCTTTTTGGTCGTGTTCTGGCAAGTGTTTGCGAAGCGCAGCTTCGCCTCTGTGTTCAAACTCTCTTGCAGTTTCTAGTAAATGAAAAATGCTCAAAATTTAAAATTCTGTGCATGAGGGGTATCCGAAAACCTATAGCCAAAAATTTGAAAATATTTAAATGGCTTCTAAAAACACGCATAGCAGGGAATTTATCGTTCGAAGCTGCATAATTTTTTCCCAGTTTTGAATTATCTGTAGTAATAGTTTTCATTTTGACCAACAGCTCTCCAAATATTTGTCGATCTTTTGGATTCAATTTGAAGGCTCAGTAGCTTGGAACATGTTGTTATACCTCCTTACTTACCCATAGCACGAAGAGGAGAGAAGGAGGGGTGAACAAAGCAGGCTCTATATTTAAACTTTTTTCTCCGTAATGATTTCGCTTTGCATTTTTATGCGCTCTTAAATGTTAATCTGTTCCTGTGGATTTGTTTGTTGTCGCAAAAAAAAGTTGCGTTTTTTTTCTGACGTGATATTTTGCGTATATTTTGTACTTAGAGCAGGTTCATTGGACACATCTTTGCCCGTCATCTGTAGCCTTTGTGCACTAATGTCTCGTATCACGTTTTGTGATAAAATGGTCACTTTGTTAAGCTAGCAAATCATTACATGTTCAACAGAATTCACTTCGCCGCATTCACACACTGCTGAGATGTCGCTCAGTTTTCCATCATATCGTGAGTGATGGGCGTCGTTGAGTTTATTCTTCATTAAGTACATGTCGAGCTTTTGAGAGAGATTAGAAGCCAACGACATTGTGTACCTTCTTATTGGAGTAGCTCCAACGATTTTTGTACTGTAGTGTTTGAGGACTTGATTGTTTCTTGATAGTATTGTTTGTAGAGGTCAGTTTTAGTTGCGTTATGTACACACCAATTTTAAAATATTCCTAGTTTTTATCCTCAATTTGATTTTATTGAGTTTTTCAAAATTTTCTTGTTTAAATTTTTCAAACTTTTCAATAAAAAGTTGCTCAATTTGCTTTGTTAACTGATGCCCAGTCCTCCGTATCTGATAAAACGCGCATAATTATGATCAATTTGCATGATTTTTTGCAGAAAGCTCCTGTTTTGCAATGTTTTAGGAACATTGTGTAGCAAAGATGCAGTCTATTTCCGGTCATTTTTGTCGATGACTTCAATTCATCGACTTACGCATTCGTTTTAGTTTGTCAAATTGCTGTTTTGCGCCGTCCGATCCAAAGCGTCCAGGTGCTTATGCGCGTCTTGTCGTGAAATTGATGGTTGGTTGTATCATAGAATAGTGGCTTTGATTTCGACTTTTATTTCTTTGAAGTTCAAGGAATTCTTCATCTTTGATACCCGGCTAACTTTGAGGCTTTTGCTTTGTTTTTTTTTTTCACAGTTTTATATTTCTACATCGCCTTCTTAACTCGTTTTGTCATTCATTTCATTTGAATGAAGATTTAACATGTGTTCAATATTTTTTTTTGGTAATAGATTCGTGATCTAATCTATTTTTGTTTCTATTTGGGACCTGCTTTTATTGTACTTTTAATGTGACATTTATGCTGTAATTTTACAATCAGCAAGGGTTCAACTGCGTTTTTTTCTGGGTAACATTGACTTATTTGTTTTTATGCATATCTAGATAATGTTTTTTGTTCAGCTTCATCAGACTATTGAGTGACTAGATCTTGTGGTCCAGTTTTAATAGTACATTTGATATTCCTTACTTATCTTTTTTGTTAAACAGTTTTTTTTATTGAATAATTACTGGTGTTGAATCCTCTCGATCTATTGAATCCTCCGTCAGCTTAAAGTAACCACTTTAAAACATAATATTTTTGTTCTTGTTTATACGGCAGCTTTTTTGAGTGTACCGTAAGAAATAGATAAGGAAGTTTTCTTTGTAGTGACACTGACTGACCGGTTTAACCTGAAAGTACCATTGCACGATAAATGGAGTTTTTATGAGGTTCCTCAGTTTTGTCGTGATAGTTTTTGTTTCAGTAAAAATAGTTTTCTCGGTGTAGATAAAGATCATGTTCGGTGTCAAAAGAAAGACAAACTCCACTTTCAAACAGCAAAAGTGTAAAGGTCACTAAAAACGTGATCGACATTAGTTTCGAAAGTGGATTTTTTCAGATTTCTCAGTTGAATACTAAGATTACCGATTGATCCATTTTTCTCACATTGGTTTAATATTATCAAAAAGTTGTCATTCATAAGAGCTTTAAGGCCATATATTTTTTCTTTGAAGTTCTTCCCATTGATTTTTTATTGGTTTCAGTGGCTTGTAAACCACTTTGGCAATACTATTTATTAGAACTATTTTTGTACCTCGTATGCGGGTTCTCATATCTGACCTCTTTTTGTTCTTTCCCTGAAATTTTTCATTAAGTTAGTTCCCTTGAAAGAGGTTTTAAAGAAAAAAATCTTGAGGTTTCTAAATTATTTGTTGGTGAAACCTGACGAAATAAACACATCTAATTCTTGTTTTGAAATAATGACTTCAGCTAGCTCGCTGATGTATTGGCCGTTCTCATTGTCCTCATTAAAAGGTTTTTCTTGAGTTTAAAAAATTAAAGCTATCACCATATCATTGGTGTAGTTTTTTTTCGGGAGTAGTTTTTTCGCCCTTTTGTTCATTTAGCGCATAAACACTGCAACTTTTTATCGGTGATATTTTTGTTTTACTTTTTTTTTTAGCGAATTGGTGCAACGCGACTTATGAACTATTTAGAAAGACGATCCTGTGAAATAGTAATTTAGATAGTTATAGAAGTTTCTGAACATGCTCTTCGGTGTCAAAAGAAAAAACGGTCTGAAGTTTTATCTCATAAGAGAGATAGAAGTTCAATATCATTTGAATTTAAGTGTCATTGTCATGTTTTTAAAATAATTGGAAGATAATTTTTGCTTGCAGTCCAAAAAAAATGGCTAACTAATATTAACAAACATTTTTCTGTTTTTTTTTGCTAATATAACTTTGGTGGGAACTTCGTGTGCAACATGCACATTAACCGGCTATTCTAGTTTGCAGTTCACAATCCAAATCATCCAAGCTTCATATGACTTGGTATGGTTCGATGAACTAAATCCGCGTTTGTTTTCTTTTATGCAATGCTTATGCAATACTTTTTATGTAAAAACACTTAACTTTATCTGAACAAAATGTTATCATTCATTGAATCGAAAGAGCGACTCGTTAAGATAGTATTTCAATAAACATTTGCTTACACTAATATTAAAAAGATCAAAACAAAAATTTACTTAAGTTAGAACATTGTCGTCTCTCCAGATTATCTTCGACAATACGGACACTAATAAGCAGTGGTGTGATAATGGTTCGAAACCAGCTCTAATCGGAGACCACCGGGTCTCGAGACCAGAGCAGATGCAGGTGGGTTCCAAGAGTGGACCTGGTTGGAATCAGCACTCCTCGGATTGTGTAGGTCCTCAGGAGTCGATGTCTAAAATTCTGGTGCAAATTATGGTGCCTTTCCTAGTAGCTGGATTGGGAACTGTAGCTGCGGGAGCGTTGCTAGATAAAGTCCAGTATTGGCCGGTGTTTCGATCGGTAACGGAGCTGTTTATTCTGGTGCCGGCGCTTGCTGGGCTGAAAGGAAATCTGGAAATGACGCTGGCATCGAGGTTGTCAACTGCGGTTAGTGATTGTTTTGGTGAATTAACTATTTAACTTATGAACAATTGAACTCACCGACTTTTGAAAGTTTGTCGTAGCTTTTGATTTCCATTATCATTTGTTTTCATTCTGCTTAGGCCAATCTGGGCATGATGGACACTGGTAGTGGACTGTGGGCCATAGTAGTGGACAACATGCTGATCACTCAGGTAGGATAAAATGAGGGGAGAGCGAGAGTAATTAAGAGTAATGAACGTAGTGAAGACTCTTATATAGGTCTTGCTAATGTTTTTTTTTTGGTTTTTTCTCAGGAAAAGTCTTAAAATTTGTTCACGCTCATTTTTGTTTTTTCGCGGTTTGACTTGTGATTTCTTTTTAAGTTCAGCTCCCTTCTATTATTAAAAGAACAACAAAAGTGTAAAGATCACGAAAAACGTGATCGACTTCTAATTTTGAAAATGGAAATTAATTATCAGATTTCCCAGCAAAATAAAAGTTTTACTTATTGATCCAGTTTTCTCAAATTGGCTTAATTTTAACAAAAAAATATCCATCATAAAATGTTCTACAAATTCAAAGAACTTTAAGGCCATCTAATTTTTTATTCGAAATTCAAAAGTTGAAGATTTTTCAAAAAAAAAACAATTCGGTTTTTTTTTCAGTTTCCTTGCGTTCATTACTCTTTTCCAACTGTCATTTGGCTATGTTTAAACACGTCACTTCATGCAATCATTTGAGTTCTAGACACAAAAAAACCTTTAGACGCAAGAAAAGCTTGGCTCATCAATAAAATAGTTTAAAAAGCGGGGAAATCTTATGGAACTGACTCTATATAAACAGGCTTTGAAGCTGCTGATTAATCCTGGGGATTTTGCACAAACTATTAACATAGCATCGATTGATAAGTTTTTCCATTCTTATTTTTTCTTTGTTACCCTTGCGATAAGCAAGGGTATTGCAATTGGGTACTAGACTTTTTCCCATAAATAACTTTATTCACAGGACTCTCTTCATCTGGTCTCATTTCCTGGAAGCTTGTTAGCAACAAATTTAACGGCACAGATAAATTTTGTGTCCTATTCGAAATTAACTCTTAAATTAGAAATTATCTTTTTATGTTGGTTGTAATTTTACTCGATATGTTTACACAAGCAAAGCTTGTGTTATAGTATGAACTCTCTTTTTTCCAACCTAAGTTGGAAATATTGTTGCGACGCAAATATTGTTGCGGCAAAATGTGTTCATTTTGAAAGTGTTCATTTTGATAAATAACCAGCTATTAAGTGCAGCCAATGCTAAGGATATTAACACAGACTATTATATTAAAAAAAGCTTTTCAGCTTCAAGGTATCATGGGTCTCTAAAGTAGAGGTAGGGAAGGAGACCCGCAAAAAAAATGAGAGGGACAGGGTGGGATGTTTTTAATGAACTTTTTTGTATACTAGTAAAATGCGTCCGCTCTATAAATTGAGGCATGTTAGTTGGTAATTTTTTTTCGAATTAAATGGTACTGCTAATGCGTCATAATTGGCTTGCATCATTTAGCAATAATTTAGAATCATAATTGGCGTGCGTCACTTAAAAAATTTTGTAGACTCAAAGTTTTTTTCTCTTCAGTTTTTCCCACTAGCATTATCGGTCATTTTTTTGCTTGTGTATGCGAAGTGCAATTTTGCCTCTGTGTAAAATTTCTTTTTTTTTTGTTTTTTTTTCTTCTTTGTTTGGCTTGATACGTATCGGCCCCTGTTATATCATTTTGTGGCCTCATATTGCATTATACCGTTCGACATGCGAATTTTTGTTCCGACCATTGAAAATGGGGAGGAACTTCGTATTCGGGTCTGTTTTAGTTTTTCTTTTTTTTGTTTTCCGCGCAAAATTAGGTACCACAAATACTCGCCAGAATAGGTTGAGTGATATAAAAATAAAAGCTCTTTCAGTCGTAATTCGAACGACTTAAAAATTTCAAAAAAATAACTCCCAGTATCCAGAGAAATCAATTTGAAATTTTTGATTTTTGGTCTAATTTCGAGTTAGTTAACAAACGCGCAGACTTAATATAGAAGAGTAAGCCATGAAATTTTAGTTGAACTCCAGTAAAATTATTTACCGAAGTTTTTTAGCGCCATCTTTGCAGTAAAAACTTCCAAATTTCGAACGAATTTCTGCAAAAAAAAATGATTTTTTTTTGCCTTTTTAAGGCTAAAACCGTTGCTCGATTTGCCTGTTCTATTTGTTAATGATTATTGATTATGCCCAAATTTTTGGTTGTTGTTACGTCCTTTTATCACGCGACTCGCAAAAACAACACTAATTTGAAGAAAAAAAAATGAAAAAGCTTCTTATTAAAAAAAGCTTTTCAGCTTCAAGGTATCATGGGTCTCTAGTGTAGAGGTAGGGAAGGAGACCCGCAAAAAAATGAGAGGGACAGGGTGGGATGTTTTTAATGAACTTTTTTGTATACTAGTAAAATGCGTCCGCTCTATAAATTGAGGCATGTTAGTTGGTAATTTTTTTTTCGAATTAAATGGTACTGCTAATGCGTCATAATTGGCTTGCATCATTTAGCAATAATTTAGAATCATAATTAGCGTGCGTCACTTAAAAAATTTTGTAGACTCAAAGTTTTTTTCTCTTCAGTTTTTCCCACTAGCATTATCGGTCATTTTTTTTGCTTGTGTATGCGAAGTGCAATTTTGCCTCTGTGTAAAATTTCTTTTTTTTTTGTTTTTTTTTCTTCTTTGTTTGGCTTGATACGTATCGGCCCCTGTTATATCATTTTGTGGCCTCATATTGCATTATACCGTTCGACATGCGAATTTTTGTTCCGACCATTGAAAATGGGGAGGAACTTCGTATTCGGGTCTGTTTTAGTTTTTCTTTTTTTTTTGTTTTCCGCGCAAAATTAGGTACCACAAATACTCGCCAGAATAGGTTGAGTGATATAAAAAATAAAAGCTCTTTCAGTCGTAATTCGAACGACTTAAAAATTTCAAAAAAATAACTCCCAGTATCCAGAGAAATCAATTTGAAATTTTTGATTTTTGGTCTAATTTCGAGTGAGTAAACAAACGCGCAGACTTAATATAGAAGAGTAAGCCATGAAATTTTAGTTGAACTCCAGTAAAATTATTTACCGAAGTTTTTTAGCGCCATCTTTGCAGTAAAAACTTCCAAATTTCGAACGAATTTCTGCAAAAAAAAATGAATTTTTTTTTGCCTTTTTAAGGCTAAAACCGTTGCTCGATTTGCCTGTTCTATTTGTTAATGATTATTGATTATGCCCAAATTTTTGGTTGTTGTTACGTCCTTTTATCACGCGACTCGCAAAAACATCACTAATTTGAAGAAAAAAAAATGAAAAAGCTTCTTATGTGTTTTTTTAAGATTATGGTCGGAATATTCAGTGCTATTTGCACAGCCCCCGGCTATCCTTATTTTTTGTTATGTGTTTTGAGGGTGAGGGAGACTTAATAACTCCTAATTAGTCTTGAAATTTTTTTAACTTTTAACTTTTTTTAAGTTTTTTGTGAGTCAGAATGTTCGTGTTTTTTGTGTTTGTGTGTGTGTGTGCCGCAGTAGCCTGCATTCAACTCAGATTTAAACAACTCGGCTAAATTTAAATCAGGACAATTGCCATAAAAGAAGCGAGACAACTCAGTCAAGGACGATATAAGAAAAATCTAAAACAGCTTATTATATTTAGAGACCTTCTGAGAAAAGTTTTATTACCAGCAAACGCTGATTCATGAATGTATCTCATATCGTGTTTCGAATGTAAGGGAAGTGGACCAAGAGCTTTTACTTGCCAATGCCATTTTTGATCTAAGCATCTTGATTGAGTTGTCTCGAAAAAATGGCTGAAATGTTTTTATCCTAGTTGAAGCAGATTAGCATGTTTCAGCTGCAGTCAACAGTCGTGGGTCTCCTGGCAGCCCTGATTGCGTATGCTCTAGCTGCAGTTCAAAGCTGGCATCTGCTCCAGTTGAGTAACGCAGTGGTGCTCTGCTCCGCCTCAGTTATCACCTCAATCCTGGTCAACATTGTACTAAGTGAGAATCATTTTTTTTTTCACTATCCTTACAGGCTTCAATTTGAAACTGTTAATCAAATCGGAACAACTTGAAAGAGTTCGAGTTTTTCAAGAAAGAAATAAAGAAAGAAAGAAAGATAAATTTTTTTATTTATTTATCCTAAGTGATGTTGAAACAAACTATAACTCTTTTTTTTCCAACCTAAGTCGCAAATATTAGTGTTCATTTTGAAAGTTAATTCTGATGAATCACCAGCTATTAAGTACAGCCAATGCTAAGAATATTAACACAGACTATTATATTACATATAATACTTTATCTTCAAGGTATCATGGATCTGTAGCGTAGAGGTAGGGAAGTAAACCCGCAGCAAAATAAGGGTTCGAACCTGGGCAGGGTGGGGATGTTTTTGATGTTTTTTTTTCATATACTAGTTAAAATGCGTCCGCTTTATAAATTGAGGCATGTTAGTTTGTTTTTTTTTCTTCAAATTATCTGGTACTTCTAATGCGTCATAATTGGCGTGCGTCACTTAGCAATTATATAGACTCATAATTGGCGTGGTTCACGTAAGAAATTTTGTAGACTCAAAGTTACTCATTTAGTTTCCCCATTAGCTTTATTGTTCTTATTTTTGCTTGTGTATGCGAATTACAACTTTGCCTCTGTTGTGTCAACTAATTACAAACAAATGATATCAATACATTCATTTACATAAAATTGGAGAGGATAAAAGAAATGCGCCTACTGAAAGTCAACTCGCTATTGAAATAACTTCAATTAAATTTAAATTAGATAACAAGGATAGCCGGTTGCTGTGCAAGTAGCACAGTATCTTCCGACCATTTTCATGAAAAAAAAACTCGAAAAAGGTTTCTTCTTTTGTTTTCTTCAAATTAGTGTCGTTTTAGTGAGCAGTGTGATTCGAGTACTATACAAATGTGTGATAGTTTAGCGAATTAGGCAAGATCGACTAACCATTTCTGCAAAACATGAATAACAAACAAAAAGGAAAATTTTGAAATTTTGAAAATTTTTATTGCTAAATAAGCGCTAAATTAAACAAACAAATCAAGTTATTTTGATACTAAATTCATTTTTTGTCAGACTAAAATTATTTTAAAATTAGTAAATTTCCAAATAACTAATGTTACTCGCTCGAAATTGAACAACAAATCAAACATTTTGAACGAGTTTTTTCTCAACACTCGGATATTTTACAGTTTCGTTCGATTCACGAGTGATAGGGCTTTAGTTTTGTATATCACTCGACCTTTCCCGATGATTATTTGTGGTACCTGATTTTGCGCGGAAAACAAGAAAAAGAAAAACTAAAACACACCCGAATTCAAAGTTTCTGCCCATTTCCAATGGTCGGAACTAAAAAATACACCAGATGCAAGTAGTTTTGAGCAGTAGTATTTTTTGGATGTTTAGCAATAATTTTGGATGATGTTTGGATGTTTAGCGTTAATAGTGGATAAATTTTAGATGTTTACCGATAATACTATGCGATGCAATAACCAATGAACAAACAAAAAAAGAACAAACAACAACAAAAAATTAAAAAGATTGATGTTATATTCGAAAAATGTTATTATTCTTAATTTGAAATTGAGAAGGTTGTAATTTAGTCAAATCGATTTCATCGGGCAAAAAACCTTTTAAACTTTCAGTAAGCAATCACTCGAAAAAGCATCAAAAAGCGCAATCGATGTTTTAAAGGGCAACTTCAGAAAAAAGTATCCATTAAAATATGTAGGCTGTGTAGAAACAGTTTTCAATGCTCTCAAAGGACTTGAATTTTCACTTACCGATGTCGAGTTCTTTGTTTTTTTTCGAATTTTTAGAACTTCTTATTGTTCTGGCCATTGAAAATGGGGAGGAACTTTGTATTTGGGTGTTTTCGTTTTTTCCTACGCAAAATAAAAGCCCTTTCAGTCGTGATTCGAACGACATAAAGAATTCCGAAAAATTGAAACTTTTAGCCTAATTTCGAGCGAGTAAAGCTAGTAAGCAGGCTTATTATAGAAGAATAAGCCATGAAACCTAACTACAGTGAAAATATGTTTTCAAATTTTTTTAACTCAATTTTTGCAATAAAAAGTTCAAAACTTCAAAAAATATCTGCGAAATTTTTTTTAAGAATGCCCGTTTTGCTTAATCTTTTTATCTTTTTATGTTCAACGTGTCAATGATACCAAATTTAAGATATATGTTATAAGTCATTTTTTATTAACTTGAGCTTAGAATAGGATCCGTTTGAAGCGATTGACAATTTATTTTATCTATATACCATATAGTGTATAAATTTTGAAAACTTCTTGTGAACTGTGTAGTGTGTTGCTAGGCGTGTTGATGATTCTGGTCGTGTGTCTGTCGCGCAAGTTGAATCTAAACCCCGACAACATCGCAACTCCTGTTGCCGCAAGTCTCGGAGACCTCATCACGATCTCCATTCTTGCCTGCGTCAGCTCCTTCTTCTACGAAACCATAGGCACTTTTCTGGTGTACCTCATTAGTTATACAGTCGCATCATGTGTAATGCCTTCTCTTTTTTGTTTTAAATATCACGTTTTATCAAAAAGGAGTGCATAAGATTATGCAAATATGTCTATCGTGTTCTGAACTTCTTGCATTCAACGCGACAGATATATTTGCATAAAATTCAGAGTATTCAGAAATTTATGGGAAATAGAATTAAAATGATGATAAAATAATAACCTGTATAGAGATAGCAAAATTGTGTTTTCGAGGTTGCGCGGTTTCATTATGAGAAATATAACCGGTTGTTTCTGTGTTGGAAACATTTTTTTGTTCGCTCAGTTGTCGCTGCATTATTCGATACAAATATAAAAGAATAAGAAAAAAACATGCGGGGTATAATAGAAAAATGCCTGCTAATAGACGATCTGGTCGGAATCCAAATAGCTTTTCTTCTCATCATAATTATGGTCATCCCATTTTGGTCATACGTCTGTAACCAGAACCCCTCTGTTCGTGACGTCATCAAGCAAAGTTGGACTCCAATTATATCAGCTATGATGATCAGCTCATTAGGAGGGCTTATTCTAGACAAAGCACAAAAGGGATTCAGGACGTTTGCAGCTTTTAGTCCCGTCATATGCGGAACAGGTGGAAATCTAGTCGCGATTCAGGCTTCAAGAATATGCACACACCTGCACGCAAACTCGCCAAGAAAACCAACAATGAGCTATCAGACGTTACAAGAAGAAAATGACGACTTGGTACCAAAATGTAACGAGAATTTGGACGAGAAATTTAAAGATTCTTGGTGTGCGGTTAACAGTCGGTTTTTATCGACGTTCAGCTGTGGATCGAACCCGCATTCGAAAAGTGCAGTTGTGCTACTTGGTTTGGTCATTCCCGGCGATGTTCTATTTGTACTGCTTCAGACTTCAGCTTCTTCTCTCGACTTGCCTTTGCTGTTCTACCCTGTGTTCTGTTTGGCTTCTTTTATCCAGGTCAGTTGATTTTTGAATGCAAACTCTTGAAAAAAAATTGAGAGATTAAGAAGATTTATCCACCAGGTAAAGGGCGAACATATGAGCTGTTCAACTCTTCGCGGAAAACCGCAGTTGTGCCCCTGGTTAGAATCTACATGTAATTTTTAGGCTGTTTTTGTGGGCTGGGTAATGTTGTCTCGCCCCCAAACATGACTGTTTTTGTCGAAATTCGATTAAAAATATATCGCGAGCAGCGTGTTTTGGGGAAATTACGAGTTTCATCCGAGTAAACGATGTTTTTTAGGTTGGTTTTTCCATTTTTTGTTGACAAACGTGTAAAGTTTTCGATGCTTTTTTCTTTCGTAGTTTTACTTTTTTTTTGCAGAAACTAGGACTTTAGTTTGTCGAAAATATAAATTTTTTACGTTAATCATAAATTACACAAACACCAACACTTATTAAAACAAAATTTTCAAAAAATCACGTCCAATAAGTGTTTTTTTTTCTCATCTTCAATGAATGGAGATAATAATAGTTTTTGTTGACATCAAATTTCTCAAAATTTGCGGAAAATGTACAAAAACTTTTCCCGTTATGAATTATGAACAATGTTTAGGTGTTTGTGCTGCTGATGTGTGCAGATTGGCTAGTTCACGTGATCTGGAAGTTGGGATACGATCCAGACAATTGCAGTATTCCTTACTTGACCGCCTTCAGTGACTTATTAGGGACATCTCTATTGGTAGTTGGCTATTTGACTCTGAGCACAAATTATGCTATTTAAATATTTCTTTAATCTTATGCAGATTTAAATAATTGGACTTAAGTTTTAGTTTTTTGTAGATTTAATCAGAGTTTATATTTGGTCTCACTTACCTTTTTAAGTCAGTAACAAAGTAATTATACTCTTAGAACCAGCAAGTTTTTCAATCGAACGGTCAGAAGTGTCAAAAGTGCGCCAAGCATTTCAATTTGGGGAAGCTCAATCTTGAATATAGGATGGCTGGAAGTTAGTTTTCTCAAATAGAACGGTCAGTTTCACAAGCTTTCGAGCTTACTGAAATTTTTGTTTATTCAAGAGGCGGATTTTAGTTAAGCTGATTGCTAGATTGTTAGTTAAACTGTTGGGTTTTCGTCTCATTTCAAGTTTTTTTTTTCAAATATTCATTCTATACACAGGGTAGTGGTATATAATAAAAGTTCTGAGTTATATAAACGTGCTAAAAATGTAGCAATCATAATTTTTGTAAAAATGGGTTTTCTGTATGGTAATCGGTTGAATTTTCAACGGTTATTTTTGAACAACAGCAAGCTTGCTGTTGTTCAAAAATTAATCTCAATTAGTGTATTGGTTATTCTCTAGCCTGATGGCGAATCGTTAGATAACAAAACTTGGAGAAAATCTTTTTTAGGGGTCATTGAACGAACTTGAGATTTTTTGCTTTTGGCTTTGATTGTTGTTTCAGTTCAATTCAAATTCGTTTTCTAACAGTAAAAAGGTAATTTATAATTTCAAATAACGAAAAGGCAAATGGTGAAGAAAATGAAGTTGGCGTTGAAGTTTGCTTTTCTTTTATTGAGAGTTGGTGAACGTAGTTCAGACTCTCATATAGGTCGTGATGTTTTTTTTTAGGAAAAAAAATTGCTCCTGCCAAATTTGATTTTTTGGTTTTTGATTTCTTTCAAGTTCAATTCCTTTCCTTTGTTACAAGGAATTATACTATCGAACAGCATAAGTTTAGTGGTCATGAAAACCGTGATCCATTTTTAGTTTCGAAAGTAGAATTTAATTTTCAACTATCCCAACGGAATAAAAAAAATTTATCTTTTGATCCGGTTTTCTCAAATTGGGTTATTTTTTTAATCGAAAAAGGTCAATCATAGATTGTTCCAAGAATTTAAAGAGCTTTAAGGCCATCTTTCTATTTAATTTAAAAGTAGTTTTTTTTTAAACAATCATATCAGTAGTATTTTTGTTACGGTTTACTAGCGTTCATTAACTCTTTTCAAACTCTGTTGGCTATACTTCAATTTTCATATCGCTTTTAGGGTAATTATTTGTTTTTAACCAAATTTTTATCAACTGATTTAACAATTTCACGGATTGTTTTTACATATTGCCCCAGAGATGTGCCACCTGCAAATGGAAATATTCAAATCTTTAATGTTTGCGAGATTTCAAAAATATTAATCATACGGTTATTTTTCGACTTAAAATTATTTTCGGCTCTCACCTTTTCTCTGACTGTTTTCTGCATTTGCTTTGTTGCTTTTTGCAACGTTCATATTTTTGCTATATGCTCTAGTTCTTTCCAACTAATAATTTTTTGCTCGATTTTGTTATTAGTTGTTCTGACCATCAAAACTGGGGAGCAATTTTGTTTTCGGGTGTTTTAGCTTATTTTTTGTTTTTTAGGGAAAATTGGATACAAAATTTAATTATGGGAATGAATGAAGGAGTGGAGTGATATGTTGTTCTCGTAATTCTGAAAAAAAAACTTTTTTCAAGTTTTTTTTTGAATATGGTCCGAGCGTTCTGTGCTGCTTTCACTGCAACCGGCTATCCTTGCTTCAATTTTTTTTTCAACTGTTCAATTAATTTAAGTATTTCAAGGAGATTGAATGAAAATTAGCTGCTCTTTTAAGTCAAACTGTAACTATATAGTAAAGAAGATTTGAGATTTAATGAAAACTATTAATCGCTGATTATTTAGTCTGTTCTTTAAAGTATGTATTGAAACTAGGGTCTGTAATCTTTTCTTAAGGTCCTCGAGCAGATTATTTCAGGGTAAGTTTTTGTATTGAAGATTGCCGGCAAATTTTTCAAGGTTCATCTTGCCCGTGTTTTAAATAGATGCTTTTTTGATGATATTTTTTTTGTAGTTTTTTTCAGTTAATTAATTGTCAGCTAATTTTGTTTTGTTTGCTTTTCCTATTTGCTTGGTTTTGGCAGCCGTGGTTTCTTAGTGTCAATGAACGTAGTGAGTTTTTTTTGAACCGTTTCGGTTTTCTTGAGTTCAGTGACATTTCTCTTTTTGTCTGTTGGCTTGTTTCTTAAATCTTTCGGCTTTCTGGTTTTGTCGGAGTTATCTCGTCTTAATTTCAGTTCTTAAAATTTTTACGTTAATATTTTTTCGAACAAAGAGAAAGAACTATCGATAGAATGTTGTTAAAGTAGGCTTCATAGTTTGCCCAAATTATGTACACGAGCGGAGCGCGGCCCAGGAAATAAGGCGACAAGAAAATTAGACGACTGTAAATTAACTGAACTTAGACGATAACTCTTTGTATATCTTTGTAAAAGAACTGGGCCAGCAACATTTTTGGTTTAGAATGAAGTTACATAAAAATAAAAAGAGTATATTATCACAGAAGTAAGTTATTTTTGTAAATTAATTTTAAAAACATAAAATCGAAAAAGTGTAGTACATTTTGAAAGGCATAAATTAACAACCCGGTTAACTCAACCAGATAATTAATTTAATGTCCTAACAGTCTCATAAAAAACCTGATTTGTAAACAATGTTCAAACAATTTGCCCGCAAATTATTGTTAAAATTCAGTTACTTTATGATCGCTTAATTTGTTTATCGAATAATTTACTATTTCCAAGTGCAGCGTAGCGTATTACTACGAGGTAATTTGTTTTCAACCTCCATCGAAAATAAAAGTGCTCATTCAATTGCTTTTTTTGGTAAGTTGGTATATTTTCAACCTGAGGCAATTTATTAGGAACTGTTGCTGCTTAATTGGTCGCGCAAAATCTAAATTAAGAGTACTGCTTGTAGTGAAGACACTTATATAGGTCTTGCTGTTTTTTTTTCAGGAAAAAGTCTTAAAATGCTCTAATAACTACATATGTGCATTCATACATATTTTGCTTTTATGCATGCACTTAGGTATATATGCACTTTTTGGGTTCAACTGAAATTCATCTGCTGAAAGTGACGTAAATAACACTCCAAATACGAACGTGTAAATGGCGCAAAAAAAACGTGAACGATTTCTCGTTTCGTAAGTGGAATATAATTTTTAGATTTCTAGCGGATAAGAAAATTTACCTGTTGATCGAGTTTTCTCAAGTTGGTGAATGTTATCAAAAAAATTGCCAATCGTAAAGCGTTATAGAAATTCAAAGAGCTAAAACGGCATCTATTTTTTTCTTTGAAATTCGAAAAGTGCGATTTTTCAACAAAGTCAGTGTTTTTTTTAATGTTTACTTGCGTTGATTACTCTTTTCTACTATTCGATTGGCTATGTTTTATTTATAGAAACATTGTTCAGTAGATTGGTTCAATTTGTGAGCAGTTTCTTTTTGAATTTTGATTGCGCTGGCTATTTCAGGTTTTTGTGATGAAATCAACTTGTCTAGCTTACTGAATCATTTTTATCAGAAAGAGCTGACATGCTTAGTCTCTTAACAATTTAAATTCAATTCCCCTTTAAAGCAATAACTTGCTGTTTAATCTAAATTCTTTTGTAAGCGTATTTTTTTACCATTTGTCTAATTTTTTTTTCCTAACGCTTTTTTTGCGCGAGGAGAATGTGCTGATTTTTGTAAAACAAATAAATTCATTTCTGTAGAATTCAGGCTTTGAATATAGATTTTGGGTATCTGAAGAAGGCATTTTGAGTTTTTTCGCTTGTTATTTTGCGATAAAGACGAGCATTGCTAAAAAAATATGCGCATTTAAAGGGAACAAAATCATTTAAAATTACTTGTTTCTGTGATTGATTCTGCAAAATCTAACATAATTTGACATCACTCTAGTTTCTATAGAAGTTTTTATATGTCTGTGTCATTTTTCTCAGTTCTGGGCGGAAAATTGGTATTTTAGACTAACGTATACGTTCATGCACATGTTGAGGTACTGCGAATGAGGTACTGCTCGTAAGACTAGTGTCAACCCCTGAATGCTAAGTAGTTTTTCAGCGCTTTTTCAGTATATTTCAGAGTTTTGTAATACGTTTTTTTAAAACATTTTCCTTGCAAATGCTTTTTTGAGTTGCCCCGTTGAACAGAATTTTTTGTTGTCTTCAGATCATCAAATGGCTGATTGCGACATTGAAGTGATTGAGGTTGAGACAGAGAAGAAGACTTCTTCTGCAAAGAAGGTCAAAAATGAATCGGACCAAAATGAATCAGGTAAAGTAGAAGTGGAAACTGAGGCAATGGAAACAGATGCAACGAACGAAGAGGCGAAGGATGATGTTATTGAAATTGTTAACAAGGGTGATACAAAAGCAGAAGCTACTGAAGTAGCTGAGGTCACTGGCATCAAAAGTTCTGAGAAGCCAGAGGTTGTGGATATTACAGATGAGAAGAGTAAACAACCAGAAGAAACCGATAATAAGAATCAGGAACCAGTCACGGTTGAAGACGACTCAGATAGCGACAATGATTGTGTCAGTATAATTGGATTTAATTTGGCTGAAAAAAATTAGATTGCAGTAATACATTTCGAGAATATTTTGAGAATTTAAATAAGGCCATGCTCTAGGTTTTACGAAAGCCGGGAAAGCCAACTCGTTACACTTTCTAGAGCCACTCGTTCCACTTTCTAAAGTTCGAAAAAAGGTCAAAAGCTCACATTTCTAGTCCAAGAGTTTCTGCTTCGTTTTCCGTGGAACAGAGCCGTATTTCTTTAAATATACTCTTTGACTCTAGTTACTGAGGTCATCGAACTGTTACTGAATTACTGGTAAACGAGGTAATTCATTGAATAAAAAATTTGAAAATTTTGGCGAGGAAAAAAATCATAAACGCATATAAATAAAGTCTTAAATTGCATAACAAATGGTATTTTTCCTTTGTACCCTCACCTCAGTAGCTTGCCAAGGGGAGAAAGGGAGGGCCAACCTCAGAAGTTTTCTACAAGTCGCCTTTGGCGCCACTATAACTAAAATTGAGGGGAAGCGCGTGCGGGAAATTTTTGGTCAATTTTTTTTGGGGGAAACGGCGTGCGGGATATTTGGTCAACTTTTTAAAAAGCAAATTTTGAAACAGAAAAAACAGGCAGAAAATGACGTTTTGAGCAGTTTTTTTATTTCAAAAGTGGCTTGCGGCGCAGAATTTTTTTTTGCAAAATAGGGTTCTCATAGTTTTTTCGGAGAGCTAGGAAAATCAAATTGGTCAGGTCTTATGCACTAAACGGCCCAAAATCATTTTTTCTATATCTTGAGCTGAATTTTATGCGGTCGAACCTGATTGGCTAATTTCAGCCTAGCAACGCGGTCAAGCATTTCAATCAACAATTCCAATAGATGCGGGAATGTTATTAGCTGAAATTGGTCAAATAATTTAACTAATTTCAAGTCACTTATGAAACTTCGCCCAGCCACGAAAATTTCAGTAAAATGCTTTCACCAGAACAAAAGTTCTATACTTTTGATTATTTCGGCTAATCAATTTACTGCTTCGAATTTAAATTTAAAAGCCGGACCATGTATGAATTACTGATTTTGGGCCATTTAGTGCATAAAACCCCATTGGTCGACCTAAAAATGAAGTTGAAAAAATTTTCCCCTAGAAAAAATTCTCCGCACTCCACTGCCTCCCATATTATTTTTTTTTCTGATTTTTTTTGCTTCGAAATTTTTGAAGCAGCTCAGATTTCGTCTTTCTGAGAAAGTACTTAATTGCGTGACTACTCCGCTGTACTCGACAGTAGCAAGGCTGTAAGTAAATGTAAAGTATCTCTAAACTAGCAAATTCAGATGCGGGTATGTTACTGAAAAGAGCCTGACAAATTAGTAGGGGTAGGTATTGATTCCTATGTACCACAGGGAGTAGTTGTCTAATAGATGTCCAAATGTAGAGTGTTTCAGACTCTGGCAGTGCTGGCTAAGTCGGCCAAGAAGGAGAAGCTGAAATTGGAAGCATCCAAATTGGGCGCGAAGCCACTTGAAGATCTATTCGCCACCACAGGGGAGGAACAACTCACAGCTGCTGTAAGCTAATTTTGGCCAAAATTTTCAAGGCTCCTTTCAATTTTTATGTCAAGTACAGTATTTTTTTACAAGTTGTATACGAGCTTAAACTGATGACTCCAAATGGTTTCGAAATTTCTACAGTTTTTTCCTGTGGATGTAGGAAACAGAAGAGCGGAAGAAGAGAGCGATTGAATTGCGGAAACAGGCGGAAGAAAAGCGAGCTGAGGAGAAGCGCGCGAGGGAAGAGGAGAAAAAGCGACGTGATCAGGTAAATTCAGTCAGGGGATGTAGCGGGATGGTAATGAATACAAAATCATCGTCGAAGTAAGACCACCGTTTGAGCAGTGAATCGTCTTTGAGATGATTCACCACTTAAAAGATATTTGTTGACTTACGTCTTTTGATTTGCCATTCATTTAATATCAATCAATTTTGCCCAACTGACTTTCAGCAGTCAGTTTTTGTTTGTTTTTTTTATGAGAAGTTTTCAGCGAAAATTACTTGAGGCTCATTGCCTCTGTTGTGTTGCTGCGTTTTTTAACGGTTTTTGTTTGGTGTTGTTGTAGCTACATCGGTCTCTGCTTCGAACTTCTGGTTGAAGTGTAGAGATTGATTATGTTTAATAGATAGAGAGAACTGGAGAATTTTCTATTATAATCGGTATTCGTCTTGTCAATCGATCGCTGCAGTTCCCCGGAGTCTCTTGCGGCAAAACCGGTGTTTGGTGTGAAATAGTCAATCTTTTTGACTCTCTTTAACTATTTTCCCACTAGAGTACCTATTAACGAATTGTCACCCTTATAAAGAAATATATCAATGGCTAAGCATATATTAATTTTGTACCTAGTAACTAATCTCCTCATTTGGCAAAAGGGGGATAGTTGAAGAGATCCATCGTTTTGCAGATATCAATGTTGTGATTTCAGAATGTTTTGGTCGGCTCTGCAGTTTTGTTCATAGCTTGTATCGAATTCTTGCAAACTTCATTGCTGTTACTTCAAGGCATATAACTTTTCAGCAGTTAACAATAGAAAAATTTTCGCATTGCTTGTTATTTACTCAAAATTGTGTAGCAATATGTATGAGTACATTTTATTTCAAACAAGTTTGCACATCATTTTGAATTTTGTGACAATTTTTTTCTGCTTAATACAATATCATGAGCTTTAGTCGCTTATCTAAAGTAGATTCACTGTATAAGATGACTAAATATGACAAAAAAGCAAGTTATTCAAATTTTGATGATTTTTTATAGCAAAAAATTATTAAGAAAAACAATAAAATACACCCGAAAACGAAGTTACTCACCGTTATCTTAAGTCGCAAAAAAGAAGGGTCTCACGTTTTAGTGAATACTTGACTGTGGTCTAGATTATAATTGCGTGCAGACGAATCTCTAGACTGCCCGGGTTGACCAAAAAGGCGAATCATACATTTTTTATATATGGAGAAATGCTTATTATACTTTTCATGCAATTCCATTAAAAATTGCATGAAAGGTCTATGAGTTGTGATTTTTCATATATGGAAAATGTATGACTAGAAATTTTTCAGAAACCAAAAAAAAATGATTTTCAAAATTTAATTTCTCCCAATTCGTAACCGAACACAAGTGACAGAAACCTTGCTAACTCGAAATTAGAAACAATGCATTGGAAACGACCTCAATTGTCTTAATTTTGCCTTACACAAATGATTTAATAAAAGTATCAAACTATCAACTTTGAATAAAATATTCAAAGGTGAAAATTTTTGAAATTTGAAATTTAATTAAATCAGGCATTGATCAAGGCATATGCCATACAAAAAAAACAGGCGTTTTAAGAGTTTTTGAAAAAGTTATTTCGCGAAACGGGCAAAATCCAGGACTAAGCTAAGCACATAAAAAGATTAAATTTTGCATGAAAAAAATTATTCTGGGAAATGTTTGAGTGCGAAGTTCGTTTTGCTGTTGAAAAAAAAATTTTTTGGGTGAATTTTGAATTTAAAAAATTTCCATATACAAATGACAAATTTGTTTTCATTTTTATATGGAAATTGTATCTTAAGCATTTTTTAAACAAAAAGGTTATCTGATTTATTTATGTCGATACACCGAATTTTATGCCAAAATAAAAAAACTAAATAAAAAAAACTCTTTAAAAATTCGATGACACTATTTCTGAAAAATTTATGAAATTTGTATGAAGTATTTTTTCAAAGATTTATTTTATGGAATTGTATGATAAGCATTTTTGGCATATGGAGATCAACCCGGCCGTTGGTTCGATACCCGCTGTAAACAGAAGCTTTGTTTTTCAAGGTTGGTTTTCTTTCAAATGATATTGTTGTATATTTGCCTCTCCTCAAAGTATATCTTTGTTGAGAGGCAAAAATACCTCTGTATGAACACCTCTCCTCAAAGTATATCTACTTAACACCCCTCTTTGTATGTTGCATGAAGTAAAGGTCAAAAACAGTAACAAGAAAAAGTTTTTACCGAACATTTACCCAATAAAGTTTCCATTACTAAAATATTTGTCATATTTTTTCGTGCTCTATAGCTTTCCTCAAAGTTAGGATCTGCTTATGTGTTTTCTTAAGCAAGCAAAGCTTGTGTGATAGTATTATCTCTCTTTTTTTCAATCTAATTTGCAAATATTGTTGCGTCAAAATGTGTTTATTTTGAAAGTGTTTATTTTGATCAGTAACCAGCTATAAAGTACAGCCAATGCTAAGGATATTAACACAGGCTTTTATATTACAAATAGCCGTTCAGCTTCAAGGTATCATGGATCTGTAGCGTAGAGGTAGGGAAGGAGAACCGCAACAAAATAAGAGGGTTCGAACCTGGGCAGGGTCGGATGTTTTTAATAAATGCGTCAGCTCTATAATTTGAGGCATGTTAGCTGGTAAATTTCTTCTTTTCTCAATTTAACTGGAACTGCTAATGTGTCATAATTGTATTGCGTCACTTAGCAATTGTATTGACTCATAATTGGCGTGCATCATTTAAGAAATTTTGTACACTCAAACTTTTGCTCATTCATTTTTTACCAGTATCATTTACGGTCATATTTTTGGTTGTGTATGCGAAGTGCAACTTCGCCTCTGTTTTTATTGCTGGAATTGGTCATCGCAACAGCGCGTTTTATCAAAAATGGATAAATAGAGAAAAATTTTGTTGAAATTTTTTTTCAGCTAGATATCTATTCTCGAAGGTTTTATTAGCCTACGAGTCTGTTGATGCGGTGTTCGCTACGTATTTTTTCAATTGTCTGTCATTTTTGGTCTAAAAAAGGTTTCGAAGGGGTCTATGGCAAACATCCGCTGTGTCAAACTTCCGAACTTGATTAATAATTAACTAATATTATGACGTTAGGGGTACCGTGTAAACATCCGATATGTCAAACAACCAAAAACCAAAAATTGCTAACCTTTTGTGGCTAACATTCGAAGCCCGCTTTACTTTGGAGAAGATCTGAAGTTTTTCAAAAAGTAGGGTAAAGATCAGATTTCTACCGTTCTTTAAACAGATGGTATAGTGGTCAAATGAAGGCGGATTGCCGCGGTCGCGCCAATGTGTTGCGATCTTGCCAACAGAGTGTAGCCAACGGTGACGCGCGTATAGCGTGGCGACCTTAAACCGTGTGTCAGATTTGTTGGAATCGGATAACTGAACTACGCCTTACTTTTGAAATTCTAACGTCAAATGTTTTCACAATCATTATAAAAGTTCGGATGTTTGACAGCGGATGTTTGCCCGAGACAAATTTCAAAAACAAGATATAGTTAAATAAGCAGATTTCAATTCAGCCGACTCTCACATAGAGTCTTAATCTCTGTTGGCAAGCTCGCAACAAGTGGCGCGACTGCGCTGATCACTATTAATTCGGACAATACAGCATCTTTTAGGCGAACGGTAGAACTCGGATCTTCGCTCTACTTTTGAACAAATGTCGGTTGTTTGCTTGATGAGTTTGTTTTTCGGATGCTTGCATTCTTCCTGTTTTTTTTTGGATGCTGGACATATTGGATGTTTGGATGGTACCCGTTTCAAAGGGCTCGATTGCCTACATACTGATTTTTGAAAGTTTAGAAAACATCAAAGTAGATTAATGTAGAAAATCCGTAAAGTAATTTTTAAAATTAAACTTGTAGGAGAAGCAGGAAGAGGCGGAACGGACTAAAAAGGAGAAGGAGGAGGCAAAGAAAATAGCGAACGAGAAGAAACTGGAGGAGAAGAGACTCAAGGCAGAGGAGAGAGACAAACTGAAGAAAGAAGAGGACAAACTCAATGTGAGTCACGTTTCACCAATCAATTTTCAGGTCGACTTGATTGATTGCCTGACACTTTCTTAACCGCTATAAACACTCCTTAATTAGACCAAAACGTGAGCACAGGAGTTGAATTTTTAGAGAAAAATACAGAAATGTCCTTTTTTGTGTAGTTTAAAAAAAGATTTAACTAATAAAAAATGCTATGTGATCTCCCATTAGTTAAATAACCTGAATTATCGTGGATTGATTTTCTGAACTTAGTAGGGTGTCTTAAGTTATTAAGTAGTGTTATTATTGTTATTAAGTAGTGTTATGTATTCTGAGTTAGTGTTTTGTCGTGTTGAGTTGTAGAAGCAGAAGCACATTGACTTCCAGAAGATAGAGAGAGACGAGGCAAGACGGCTGATTGAGGAGAAACGCCAGGAGGAGAGGAGGAAGCGGGAGGAGGCGAAGGAGGAGGAGAAGAAAGTGAAGGAGGAGGAGCGAGTGAAGAGAGAGGAGGAGAAACTACAGAAGGAGCAGGAGAGGCTGCAGAAGGAACAGGAACGTATGCAGAGGGAGAGGTGAGCAGACTGTACTGATTCTAGCTTACAGAGTCACAATGGGTTACTGCTGGTTTTCAAGCCAAAAAGATTGTGATTATGTGATATGGACCGCAAATAATAGGTAGCATGGGAGATCCCACCCGACAGGCTGATGTCGTATTGGTATTCTCCCAAGGCGAACTAAATGGTAAAAGTTTTTTTAGTTCGAACGAAATGATCTTCCGAGCTCTCCCATAGCACTAAAAAGACCATGTTTTGGTCAAATTTTCTGCGCTGCAGGCAAAATTTTGAAAAACAGGCCAAAAAAGGCGTTTTTAGGCACTTTTTAGAAAATTTTGACCAAAATTGTGTTTTTTCGGCGCGCGCTCTCCCCTTAAAAATATATATTGGCGCCAAAGGGTCCGTCACCAAATATGGATATCTCAAAATAGTATAAAGGGGGGACCCTTTGTGTCGGCAGGGGGTCGAATCCCTGAGGAGGGAGCGTCCGCCCCGCCCCCCCCCCCCCCCCCGAAATCCGCCCCAGAACGTACCATTTCATACATTGTTTGGTTAGAAATTTCTGACTTCAATTTAAAGTTGTTATGATTATGATTTTGCGATATGGCCAGTTTTGAGATCTTGTGAAAAAAAATCGATGACTGACTAAGAGTTGAGAAGCGGAGAATAGCGTCCTTGGTATCTTTGATGTCTGCGCTTTCTTGAGTCTTGCGTAATAGCTTTTAGTGGGAAATCAGAATAAAAACGTAGTGATTCGGAATTTGAGAGCGAGTTCACGTTTCCAACTTGTGTACGACACGTGTGTTGATTGTTTCATTACTTGTCAATTTTTAAATCGGTATGTGCGTGATTAACGCGACAAAGTTTTCTTTATATTAAAGGGAAAAGCAGCAAAAAGAGCAAGAACGACAGCACAAGATGAAAGAGGCGGAAAAGCAGCGACAAGAAAAGGAAGAGACTAGACGACTGGCGGAGGAGGAGAAAAAGAAGGCAGAAGAGCGGGAGAATCTTAAGCGACAGAAGCAGAAGCAGTTTTTCGGTAGTTTCTTCCGCTCTCCCGGTGGGGCTAGCGTGCCGTCGGGTGTAAGTCGCCGCAGCTCAGCGGGTGATGCGTTGACTGCCGATGGTGGCGATGGGATTAAAGATGCGGATATAATGGAAGTGTTACCGAATGGACAAGTCAAACCAGTCATAGACGAGGTGTGTATTTTATAATCTGGTTTGTATTAGATAATGAATCAATGTTCTGTATGAAAATGTATTATATTATCGAGGTATGCTTTTATCAGTATTCAGTTAATTACAATAACAAGCTTTGGTGAGCGTAGTATAATAGTACGACTATTCTTTTTTCAAACCTAAGTCGCAGATATTGGCGCCACCTTCGGTGGCACCTCTACGGCTTTTTGATAGCATAACTTTGGAAATTTGATTAGTAAAAAGTTAACACAGCTGATGCATTTTTGAATCATCAACTGAACAGAAAAAAAGTTTGCTGTTTCAGAACAAGACAAGAATAGCCTGGTAATGTGCAAATAGCACAGAATGTTCCTATCGTTGTCTTGAAAAAAAAAACATTTTTTTTCTTCAATTAATTGTCCTTTTTTCTGTGCGGTGTGATAAAAACAAAAAATAGAAAAAATGTTTTCGACAAGCATAGTCAAATAGTCTAATCGGAAAACAGTTTTGTAGAAAATGACTAGAAAACGGAAAATATATATTTTTTTGCAGAAATTTTTTGAATTTTTGAAGTTTTTGATTTCTAAAATTGCGCTAAAAACTAACTTAACTCGAGTAAAACTAAATTTTTACGGCTTAAATAAGCTACTGTAAGCCTGCACGCTCACCTGATTAGCTCAAAATTTGACAAAAAAAAATCAAAAAATTTCAAATCATTTTTTCAATGTGGTTCGAATTGCGAATGAACGGGCTTCATTATGATATATAACTCTATACATATTAATGATTGTTTGTGGTACTTGATTTTTAGTGAAAAACAAAAAGAAAAAACTAAAAAAACACCCGTATACAAAGTTCATCCACATTTTTCAAACGGTCGGAACAACATTAATAAAAACTCGATTTCAGAAAATTTCTAATTCAATATATCTCGCAATTTTTTGAAGCGCATAGTTTATTCATAATGTGGCTCTATGCTTTCCAATTTAACACATGCAAAATTGTGTCATTTGGTTCCACTTTTGATGCATCGTGTTGGCATTTCATTGGCTTATGTAGCTGTTTAATTCGTGACTTGTGTTTTTCAATTGCTATTCGTTTGAGGCCGAGAGGGCAGGGTGTGAGACTGCAAATCTCGAGGTTGCAGATTCGAATACGATACGTATCAAAGTTTTACTAATTCGAGGCTTATTTCTATTTTTTCTTTTTTGACTTTATAAAGCCGTTTTTTGTTGTTCTTGCCAGTGATTGCGACACCCAGCCTTTATTCTCGCCCTGTGTTAGTTTTGCGATTAAGCAAGCGTGATCAAATCGGAGCATTAAATTTTTTCCAGGTTAAAAATTTGTCTAACGACAGTAGTTTGTCCATCAGTAAATCTTGCGATTAGGCAAAGCGTAATCAAATCGAAGCCTGAACTTTTTTCCAGGTTAACAGTCTGTCTAACAGAAGCAGTTAATTATTTGATAGCTGGGTTTCTAATATATACAGTTTTTTATCGTTTCTCTTCTATTTCCCCGTGTGTTCAAGCGGCAATTTCCATGAGTTGGGCGATTGAAAATCAGTGCTTCAAGTCCGGCAGAATCTGTACTTTTTGCAAATAGGAAACTAATGCTTCTGAGAAAGAGCTAGTGCCTGTCTGCTTAATTTTTGCCGGCTTAGTCATCATAGGATAAATTTTCTTGTAGTCCAAGTAATCTTACTATATTTTAAGGTAATTCAGAAAAAGAATCCGTTTTTTTTCTCTGAATTTGGTCTTCGCATGTTTTTTTTTTCAAATGATATTTGTACAGTACTTAAAAAATATTGAAAATTCTGGAATATAGTGGAGGTTTTTAATATATTCATTTTCCTTTGCGACTATACTGACACAATTTTTGAGGCGAAAACACTTGATGTCATATTCGACCCGTCGCTAAATTTCGCTGAACATTGCAAGCGAGCATCCGCAAAAGCCACGCGCAGACTATTGGTCCTGAAGGCTTTATCCTGATTTTTTTGAGAACAGTCCAATAAAATTTTACTGGTGACATGCTGCCAGTGGAACATCATTAAACAATTTGCAAACATTAATAAATGCTGGTCGCCGCTTGATAATAGGGAGTTAAATTTCCGCCGAAATAGAGACTATCATATCCGAAATTAATACCCATACTCTTTTCAATTATTTTTATGAACGAAGTTCTTTTATCTGTAAATAGCTTCAGAAGCAAATTCATCATAGAGAGCTAGACGGGACATATCAGACGCGCCGCCTCTTGAGGTCCCCCCTCAGACCACCTGATATCTCCCTGTCAAGTTTCTCCCTTCTTCCACTAAGAGAAACGTATTCCAGTTTAGATCCGGGAAGAGCCCCGGCCTTAGCACGTACCTGCGTTTTGCAAATGGGAAACTAATGCTTTTGAAAAAGAGCTAGTGCCTGTCTGCTTAATTTTTGCCGGCTTAGTCATCATAGGATAAATTTTCTTGTAGTCCAAGTTATCTTACTATATTTTAAGGTAATTCAGATATCTTACTTTTTTTCAACTATCTTAGCAAGTGTATTGCAACCGGGTAAAAGACTTTTGTTCCCGCTTATAACTTTTCACAGAATGGTCAAAATTAGTAACGGTTAACTTAGGTTAAGCTCATAATGAAGTCAATTTTTTTTTGGGTCACTGACACACCTTATCTGGAGGTAACCAATACGACTGGGAAGGCAAAGGTCCTGGGTTCAATTATTCCTTTTCAAAAAAAAATTGTCCGCTTATTTGTCTATTTATGTTTTGACGGCTTAGTTGACACATCGTATAGAATTGTTTATTTTTTTCTGTACGCATTTTACATTAAAGTTACTTCAAGTGTTGTGATTATTACTGCGGTTCTAATTTTACAAACCTTAATTTGGTTTTTTATTGGTTTTTTGGCTTAAAAATGTTTTATCCTTAATGATTCCGTCCTGTTTTTTTTAGCGTAGTGTCCTTATATTGCGTCGTTTGATGACCGAAAATTTTTTTCGTGTGCTGGTGTAAATAATTTGAAGGGGAGGGGGAATTGAACGTTTTTTAGTTTTAAAGTTTGTTTCGGCTGAAACGGTTACTGTTCAAATGCTTTTGGCTTTTTTCGCGCTTTGTAAGTTTTCTTCCGATGCTCATTTCACTTTTTGTCGTGGCATCTTTTTTTTTGTAAAAACGGGCTCAATATATTTTGTTGCAACTGGTTGTTTCAGCAGTTCCGATTTGTTTTTTTTTTTCATGATTGTATTGCAATTAATGCGAAGCTCCGCTTCGCGTCTGCGTAACAAAAACGAATACAAAAAGAATCCGTTTTTTTTCTCGGAATTTGGTCTTCGCATGTTTTTTTTTCAAATGATATTTGTACAGTACTTAAAAAATATTGAAAATTCTGGAATATAGTGGAGGTTTTTAATATATTCATTTTCCTTTGCGACTATACTGACACAATTTTTGAGCCGAAAACACTTGATGTCATATTCGACCCGTCGCTAAATTTCGCTGAACATTGCAAGCGAGCATCCGCAAAAGCCACGCGCAGACTATTGGTCCTGAAGGCTTTATCCTGATTTTTTTGAGAACAGTCCAATAAAATTTTACTGGTGACATGCTGCCAGTGGAACATCATTAAACAATTTGCAAACATTAATAAATGCTGGTCGCCGCTTGATAATAGGGAGTTAAATTTCCGCCGAAATAGAGACTATCATATCCGAAATTAATACCCATACTCTTTTCAATTATTTTCATGAACGAAGTTCTTTTATCTGTAAATAGCTTCAGAAGCAAATTCATCATAGAAAGCTAGACGGGACATATCAGACGCGCCGCCTCTTGAGGTCCCCCCCTCAGACCACCTGATATCTCCCTGTCAAGTTTCTCCCTTCTTCCACTAAGAGAAACGTATTCCAGTTTAGATCCGGGAAGAGCCCCGGCCTTAGCACGTACCTGCGTTTTGCAAATAGGAAACTAATGCTTCTGAAAAAGAGCTAGTGCCCGTGTGCTTAATTTTTGCCGGCTTAGTCATCATAGGATAAATTTTCTTTTAGTCCAAGTAATCTTACTATATTTTAAGGTAATTCAGATATCTTACTTTTTTTCAACTATCTTAGCAAGTGTATTGCAACCGGGTAAAAGACTTTTGTTCCCGCTTATAACTTTTCACAGAATGGTCAAAATTAGTAACGGTTAACTTAGGTTAAGCTCATAATGAAGTCAATTTTTTTGGGTCACTGACACACCTTATCTGGAGGTAACCAATACGCCTGGGAAGGCAAAGGTCTTGGGTTCAATTATTCCTTTTCAAAAAAAATTGTCCGCTTATTTGTCTATTTATGTTTTGACGGCTTAGTTGACACATCGTATAGAATTGTTTATTTTTTTCTGTACGCATTTTACATTAAAGTTACTTCAAGTGTTGTGATTATTACTGCTGTTCTAATTTTACAAACCTTAATTTGGTTTTTTTATTGGTTTTTTGGCTTAAAAATGTTTTATCCTAAATGATTCCGTCCTGTTTTTTTAGCGTAGTGTCCTTATATTGCGTCGTTTGATGACCGAAAAATTTTTTCTTGTGCTGGTGTAAATAATTTGAAGGGGAGGGGGAATTGAACGTTTTTTAGTTTTAAAGTTTGTTTCGGCTGAAACTGTTACTGTTCAAATGCTTTTGGCTTTTTTCGCGCTTTGTAAGTTTTCTTCCGATGCTCATTTCACTTTTTGTCGTGGCATCTTTTTTTTGTAAAAACGGGCTCAATAATTTTGTTGCAACTAGTTGTTTCAGCAGTTCCGATTTGTTTTTTTTTCATGATTGTATTGCAATTAATGCGAAGCTCCGCTTCGCGTCTGCGTAACAAAAACGGATACAAAAAGAATCCGTTTTTTTTCTCGGAATTTGGTCTTCGCATGTTTTTTTTTTTCAAATGATATTTGTACAGTACTTAAAAATATTGAAAATTCTGGAATATAGTGGAGGTTTTTAATATATTCATTTTCCTTTGCGACTATACTGACACAATTTTTGAGCCGAAAAC